ATTATGGTACTATTCCCATTTTCGACAGAGTGAATTATGGTACTACAATGTATACCCATTTTCGACAGAGTGAATTATGGTACTATTCCCATTTCCGACAGAGTGAATTATGGTACTATTCCCGTTTTCGACAGAGTGAATTATGGTACTATTCCCATTTCCGACAGCGTGAATTATGGTACTATTCCCGTTTTCGACAGAGTGNCTATTCCCATTTCCGACAGAGTGAATTATGGTACTGTTCCCATTTCCGACAGAGTGAATTATGGTACTATTCCCATTTTCGACAGAGTGAATTATGGTAAATGTACTATACCCATTTTCCTACAGTGTGATTAATGGTACTATATCTGTTGCTGACAAGGCAGTTGTATTACACGCATTCTCGGAACTACCCTTGTTTGTAATTAATACACATGTTGAAGGTCAAGGTGTCTTAAATAGGTTGTTCAATAGTCATCAGATATTGGTCTAAAACAAATGTGTTTTACTACTGATGAGTAAGGGACACAATGACTTCAGAGGGAGAGCGCACACGAGTCACACAATGACTTCAGAGGAAGAGCGCACGCGAGTCACACAATGACTTCAAAGGGAGAGCACACACGAGTCACACAATGACTTCAGAGGGAGAGCGCAGACGAGTCACACAATGACTTCAGAGGGAGAGCGCACGCGAGTCACACAATGACTTCAGAGGGAGAGCAAACACGAGTCACACAATGACTTCAGAGGGAGAGCACACACGAGTCACACAATGATTTCAGAGGGAGAGCGCACACGAGTCACACAATGACTTCAGAGGGAGAGCGCACACGAGTCACACAATGACTTCAGAGGAAGAGCGCACGCGAGTCACACAATGACTTCAAAGGGAGAGCACACACGAGTCACACAATGACTTCAGAGGGAGAGCGCAGACGAGTCACACAATGACTTCAGAGGGAGAGCGCACGCGAGTCACACAATGACTTCAGAGGGAGAGCGCACACGAGTCACACAATGCCCTTATTACGGAGATCGCATTGATCTGATTATATTTATGTAAGTTTATAAAATATGTTTTTTGAGATCCTTCAAGGCAGAAATTGTTTGCAATTGGTGTTTAGATTGCATCACATGATGTGAGGGAGTTACAAAACAGATCGGAAAAAAGGATCCAAGCTTGATCATGACTCGGTTTTGTGCATAGAAGGCAAGCGCCTTCTGTTTCATTAACGACACTCGCCATATCAATCTAGGTCGCATCCAAGCAATGTCACGTCCTCACATCGAGAGCTCGAGTTATGACAAGAAAACCACAGGACATTCTAATGAGCATAATAAAAAATCAGCCCTCATATAACACAAAGAAATAGCAAATTTGTCCATAGTCTATATCAAACTGTATGTTTTGAAACCTCTTGGATACCGAGTCGGCTGCGACATGAAATATCATAGGTTGGAGAAGTAGGAATGTTTCTATAAAGAAAAAGAAAATTCACAATCGGAAAGTTAATTGAAATCGTCTCGCTTATCATACAACGTATAAGTAAGCCATTTCTGTTGTTCATGTTATAAGGAAAGATCGAAAAAAAAGCGGCTGAAGTAGAAGAATTTGCAGTTTCCTTTGTTTGAATCCCAGGAGGGTATATACGTTTGACGTGGATTAAAAATCTTATTCAAAGACAGAATATCGTCGAAATATGTGAATATGATATAAAAGGATTGACTGTAGTTTTGATACCAGTCCTGATAAGCTGATCAATAAATTCAGCCTCATATGAAAATTACAACAAGTCTGCAGGAAGAGGGCCGGGACACAGGTCGGTCCATAGGAATGCTTACAGTATGCTGCAAAATATTGCCACTGAACATAACAAATATATTGACAACCAAGTTCTAATTCATTTTCACATTTTCATCCTCAGAATATTAACCTTGATATTATCTTATTAAAAATCAAAATATACCATAGCGTCACCACGCAAAGGGATCATTTACCAGTATCAACGGTCTAGGACAGCACTATACAATCGGGGCAATAAACAAGGCCTTTCATCACACAGGGACAACCCATAAGCGTCACCAATTAAGGACTCCCCATATCATAAGAGCAAAAATACAGGCCCAAATATACCAAAGCGTCACCACACAAGGACAAGCCATGTCATAAGGGCAAAAATACAGGCCCAAATATACCACAGTGTCACCAAACAAGGACAACCCATATCATAAGGGCAAAAATACAGGCCCAAATATACCACAGCGTCACCACACAAGGGCAAGCCATATCATAAGGGCAAACATACAGGCCCAAATATACCACAGCGTCACCACACAAGGACAAGCCATATCATAAGGGCAAAAAACACCAGGCCCAAATATACAACAGCGTCACCACACAAGGACAACCCATATCATAAGGGCAAAAATACAGGCCCAAATATACCACAGCGTCACCACACAAGGACAAGCCATATCATAAGGGCAAGACAAACAGGCACAAATATCACAGCGTCACCACACAAGGACAACCCATATCATAAGAGCAGAAATACAGGCCTAAATATACCACAGCGTCACCACACAACGACAACCCATATCATAAGGTCAGAAATACAGGCCTAAATATATCACAGCGTCACCACACAAGGACAACCCATATCATATGGACAAGACAAACAGGCCTAAAGATACCACAGCGTCACCACACAAGGACAACCCATATCATAAGGTCAGAAATACAGGCCTAAATATATCACAGCGTCACCACACAAGGACAACCCATATCATAAGGACAAAACAAACAGGCCCAAATATACCACAGCGTCACCACACAAGGACAACCCATATCATAAGGACAAAACAAACAGGCCTAAATATACCACAGCGTCACCATACAAGGACAAGACATATCATAAGGACAAGACAAACAGGCCCAAATATACCACAGCGTCACCACACAAGGACAACCCATATCATAAGGACAAGACAAACAGGTCTAAATATATCACAGCGTCACCACACAAGGTAGAAATACAACACATATTCAGGACAAAACTGATCACAACGGTGTACACACAAGGGCACACACAGCTATGTCAATACACAGGAAGAAACGTCCATAAACAAGAACACAATATCACGCCATCATCACACAACAGAGTTAGGTAATGACCAATACTGCCACATGGTATGTACTTTTTGTTATGTATGTCACGTGTACTTGAAACGGTCCTAGTCAACTCATTACACTTAATTAAGTACCACGGACGGTTATTTCCGTCGCCAGTAGAACAATGCGGCGTGGAAGCTTCTGTTGGGTACAGTACTTACATCTCGTAGATAAAGGCTGAAATCCCCACATGTTGACCACATGTTATTGCTAAACATGAAGAGAAAAATATTCCAGGGCATAACATGAAAGTGATTGAAATTTCAATCCTTTACCTACAAATTTGCTAAGAAGCAGTTTTAATCATTTGGACCTGGGGTCTGCCATTGTATTAAGAAAGAGTTTAGCTCCCCTGGGATAAAAGATAAAAAAATGAACATCTGAACACTTACTGCTTTATTTTTGTCAAATGTCGTTTTGACTTAATGTCCATCAAACGTGGATTTGACTAATTGTTTAAACCTGGTATTTTCTATATAGACCATGCCATGGCTATTTAAACCTTGTGATCACACCATGTCATGGTCATTAAAACCAAGCGTATTTAAACCTTGTCTTTCCTATATACCCAATACATTGCTAATTTAAAGGTAGTATCTATGTACATGATGTCTTGGTGATTTAAACCTAACTTTCTGCTAGACACACCATGCCATGGTCATTTAAACTGAGAATTCCTTTAACCACGCTATGCTATGGCCATTGAAATAAGCACCATGCATTGGTTTTGTAATATTTCGTCTACTCTTTAATATAGCACACGTGATCAACTTACTAAATGCCGTGAAATCCCACGTGCTTGTTTTAGTTTACTTCCAAGTAATAAGTATCGTAACAACGTCTTAATCAAAAGCATTAGGAAGGATATGGTCAGGTCACATGTTTGGGGTTTTCTGTATGTAAGGAATTTGTTTAACAACATGATGGTATTGCATGTTTCCGAGTCTCACATTGACTTTTTTCTCCATCCTTCCATCCCCCTCGTCTCCAGCCTCCCATACCCCTCGTCCCCAGCCTCCCACCCCCCTCGTCTCCACCCTCCCATCCCGACCCTCGTCCCCAGCCTCCCATCCCCCTCGTCCCCAGCCTCCCAGCCCCATCGTCTCCAGCCTCCCATACCCCTCGTCCCCAGCCTCCCATCCCACTCGTCTCCAGCCTCCCATACCCCTCGTCCCCAGCCTCCCATCCCCATCGTCTCCAGCCTCCCATACCCCTCGTCCCCAGCCTCCCATCCCCCTCGTCCCCAGCCTCCCATCCCCCTCGTCTCCAGCCTCCCATCCCACTCGTATCCAGCCTCCCATTCCCCTCGTCTCCAGCCTCCCATCCCACTCGTATCCAGCCTCCCATCCCACTCGTATCCAGCCTCCCATACCCCTCGTCCCCAGCCTCCCATCCCCCTCGTCTCCAGCCTCCCATCCCGATCCTCGTCCCCAGCCTCCCATCCTCCTCGTCTCCAGCTTCCCATCCCCGTCGTCTCCACCCTCCCATTCCCCGTCGTCTCCAGCCTCCCATCCCACTCGTATCCAGCCTCCCATTCCCCTCGTCTCCATTCGCCCGTAGTCGTTGGTTGCTTACCGCTGACCACCATATCTGGGAAATGTTTGGTCTGCAGTAAGCAATAGCTATGGTGATTTTCGGAAAGTTGTTTTCGAGTTACATTGTACCGGGCGACGTCAAACTTTGCTAGTGCTCTCGCAAGAAATTCGAATGAATTGTGACTTTTGACATATATAAACATAAAGATATAGTTATAATACATATAGAATATATGAATATAGGTTTTATGTATAGATATGCAATTGTCTAATTGATTGTATTTATACCCCCTACTTAGTGAGGGAGACATATATATATATTTAAATCGTTTTGTCACTGCGTCCGGAGGCACGCAAATTTCCGTAGTAAAAATCTTAATTACATAACACCTCATGAACCCCTGAAAACACCTTATTAGATTTTGGAGGTCAGCAGTCAAGGTTATAGGGTCAAAGGTCTCGGTCAAAAATGACATGTTACCATATTTTAAGTAAAATGCTTGCGAACAAGAGACCTCACGAATCTCTCAACCAATGAAGTTTATATTACACCATAGTATAGTAACCCCAGGTAAAACTTGATAAGATCTTCGTGGTCACGCGCAAAAAGGAAGAGAAACAAAGGGGGATATATCTATTTGAGCCTAATCTCACTTTGTTTTTATGAATCATAGAAGTAATGAAATACTCAGCAACTATATAAATTTCACGCTGTCTTATTTAAGTTTTAATTTTTTTAGAATACCATACTGAAAACAGGTAGTTATCCTGGCTCTTAGATAAATCTCTTCTACATCCTCTTTTTAAATCTGGCGACGTGTGTATGCCCACAAACTAAAGAACATTTCTCATACCAGATGTTAAGCGAAATTTTCAAAGGCATGTTAAATAGAAGGCTTAATATATTAACAAATAGAAAATAGAAAAAAAAGATACTCGTTAAGTGCTTAAATATCTGGTCATTGAATACCATACCAAATTAAAATGTACATGCCTGTCTGTTTACTTTGATGAAACATTGAATTGATTGTCTATGGAGTTGATTGTTACCTTCTACATAAACGTGTACAATATGGAATCGGTAAAACGAGGATTACAGTGAGCAGCACTACGTATTTCAAACACATTCCTAAAATAATTTATTGGAGGCGATAGTTAAAGTTCAAATCATTTCTTATTAACATAAATAATTTATCAATATTGAACAATATTTCACGTAAAATGGGAAAGTTGATGTATGTTATCTTTTCTTGGCAGACGATCTCCTTCTCTTGTACAGGTGTATGAATTTCGTAAAAAATGTTTCAGAACCGTTCTGATATAAATGGTAGCTGTCGATTACTCTTAACAAAACTAAAAACAAGATCTTCAAGGCAAGGTATATGATTGATACATCAAACCACTGGCCATTTTACTTGAACAACCGGGAGACAATAACGTATTACTTGATATACACATGTACGGCATTCTGTTATAATGGCAATGTATGTGTTACTCACGTAATTGAATCAGAGACGAAAGTTCAGCATTTTAGCAACTTATGTATCACAGATATATTTCAGTTCTGGTATTTTAACTTTTGTTTTGATTACAACCTTTAGTGTGTGCTGTGATTGTGCCTGTGATGTTTAAAGCTGTGCACACACTAAACATGATCACTATTGTTACAGAGTCAGGAAGCACCGGTTTAGAAAAATTGTAGTAAATCAATGCTGAAATCTTAACAAGGTACACATTACCGGACAATATGGCCACAACACTCACCGGTCGTACTCAAAGTGGAAAGAATGAAATCTATGTATAAACCGTTCTGAAATATAGGTAGTGAATAGAAAAACACGAAAGGTGATAATTAAACCCTTCATAACGTCACAGATTGACTGTCTCCAACAGGTAGTTTATTCTTAAAGTATTATTTTATGAAAGACGTATTTAGGGGTTGATATATAGGAAGGTTAAGCCTAGCTATTGTGTGGATTAACAAATCAACCAACCTTAGCGCGCAATCGTCCTATATAAATATGTATGCTGGGTAGATAGAGCTTCCAAAACACCCAAGTTAAACATGAATTTGGAACAATAGGACATTGCGAAGTAATGACGTCAAGTCACCACAGATCACAAAGAACCAACATATTCAGAACTGATTCAAGTTCAACTTCATATACTTCATTTGTAGTCATAGCATACGGAATATTGATTAGTGAGCATAGCATACGAATATTGATTAGTGAGCATAGCATACGGAATATTGATTAGTGAGCATAGCATACGGAATATTGATTAGTGAGCATAGCATACGGAATATTGTTTTAGACACGTATCATTTAGTATATAGTATTTGCACACGTGTTCAAAAAATATCCTATAATACACACATACAATACACAATATCGTATGATGTAATACCATGTTTGACGTATTACGGTTAGATAAGTAGATGGGACCATCATTCATGACAAGTATAATAGGACAAACACAGAAATCGGTCACGTACTACTTCGCCTGGGAGATATATTATCTCTGATCAAGAGCAAAGTTTCGCTCCTGGTTCGTAAATCACACGTTTTGGTGTTATTTACTCTCGGTTTTTGTTGTCATTTAGCAATGACAAGAATGTCAGGGTCTGTGGAAAATCATCGCATAACAAAATAATGTGAGCGATATGTTGTTGGTGCAGTGCACTTTCCCCTAGTGACCGATTTCCGGGGCTGTGGAAAACTACTATCGTTCTCCTGTAGTGTAGTGCTGATATAGTATGGGATTGCTCTGGTTTGTTATTGTTTATATATCTGACAGTTTGTTGACGAACATTCATCCTCGATTACATTGACCTCTGGTCTATATATACGTGTGTGTCCGCGAAATGAACTAATGCTATTTATATCATCGAAATATTTGTTGATTCATAAATAGTACAACTGGCATGCACTCTGACTTAAAGGTCGTTTTTTGCAGTAAATCAATAATGATCTCATCCTGAGAATTTATATATTTACTTTGTTAACCACCCAGTAATGCAATTGAAAATGTCTATTATATTGACATGGTGAATCAGCTTTTAACTTTCAACACGACCGCTTTACCTGTAATACGGGATAACCTATTTGTACTCAATCGTATTTCATTCTATGCATGCATCGTCCCTATTCGTTTTTCTTCGATCTGATTGGTTAACTATTTAAAGCCGTTAACTGCAGGCTTTTTTTCCCACGAGAGAGGATTCTTTGGTAAACTTTGTACCATTTGATTTGTTTATTGTCGATTGTTTTTTAAAATTCAATTCAGGTCGTGTATCTTCAAAAATGCGGGTAAGAGTGTAAACACGTGTTTAATTATACGCCCAGGGAATTGTAAGGGGGTGATGCTATAACTAGTCACACATCAGTTGACTGCAGTAATAACACTATATCGCCTACGCACTATATTAAACCATAAATGTCAAAGTCTACAGCAACCATATACGTTACTTTTTTAAAATTTCAAAACGCCCTCTTAAACAGTAATTTACTTATTTATACAACATGCATAAGGACTGAGAGGTGCAGGTTTAGTCACTGTATAAATTGAGGGTTGGGAAGATATGCAAACGTGCTTGCCTTCAAATTAATTGTGTGATTACAAAAGTATAATAAAATAATCAAAACACATACTGATGTCCCTGTGTAACAGCGATGAGATCCTATCACACATACTGCTATCCCTGTGTTAGAACTTATCACACATACTGCTATCCCTGTGTTACAGCGGTGGGATCCTATCACACATACTGATATCCCTGTGTAACAGCGATGGGATCCTATCACACATACTGCTATACCTGTGTTACAGCGATGGGATCCTATCACACAAACTGCTATCCCTGTGTTACAGCGATGGGATCCTATCAGACATACTGCTATCCCTGTGTTACAGCGATGGGATCGTATCACTCATAAAATTATCCCTGTGTTACATCGATGTGATCCTATCACACATACTGCTATCCCTGTGTTAGAACTTATCACACATACTGCTATCCCTGTGTTACAGCGGTGGGATCCTATCACACATACTGATATCCCTGTGTTACAGCGATGGGATCCTATCACTCATAAAATTATTCCTGTGTTACATCGATGGGATCCTATCACACATACTGCTATCCCTCTGTTACAGCGATGGGATCCTATCACACATACTGATATCCCCGTGTTGCAGCGATGTGATCCTATCACACATACTGCTATCCCTGTGTTACCACTTATCACACATACTGCTATCCCTGTGTTACAGCGGTGGGATCCTATCACACATACTGATATCCCTGTGTTACAGAGATGTGATCCTATCACACATACTGCTATCCCTGTGATACAGTGATGAGATCCTATCACACATACTGCTATCCTGTGTTACAGCGATGGGATCCTATCACACATACTGCTATCCCTGTGTTACAGCGATGGGATCCTATCACTCATAAAATTATCCCTGTGTTACATCGATGGGATCCTATCACACATACTGCTATCCCTGTCTGTTATCCCTGTGTTACAACTTATCACACATACTGATCTCCCTGTGTTACAGCGATGAGATCCTATCACTCGCTGTTATCCCTGTGTTACAACTTATCACACATACTGATCTCCCTGTGTTACAGCGATGAGATCCTATCACTCGCTGTTATCCCTGTGTTACAACTTATCACACATACTGATATCCCTGTGTTACAGCGATGGGATCCTATCACACATACTGCTATCCCTGTGTTACAGCGATGAGATCCTATCACACATACTGATGTCCCTGTGTTACAGCGATGAGATCCTATCACACGCTGTTATCCCTGTGTTACAACTTATCACACATACTGATATCCCTGTGTTACAGCGATGAGATCCTATCACACATACACATATCGCTGTGTTACAGCGATGGGATCCTATCACACATACTGCTATGCCTGTGTTACAACTTATCACACATACTGCTATCCCTGTGTTACAGCGAAGGGATCCTATCACTGATAC